AACCGCTGTTAAAACTCGTAATACTTTGAAAACAAAAAATTTAATTATTTACAAACTGCTTCTTACAATTAGTATTCAATCTAATTATGAATACGGAATAGAAACAACAAAAATTGAACATTCTGCTGTTTATTGTTTTTAATATCACCTAAGTAGTAACTGTAAGAGAAAGTCAATTTAATTTAATTGCATTTAAAAAAATAATCAAAACTACATTCTGAAATACCAATAAATAGATAATACATTTTGCTAAAATTATTTATATTTAGTTCTGTTGACATTATATTATCCAAATTATATAACAATAAAAAAAATTTCTTACCAATTTTTCGATTTCTTTTGTTTTAATATATACATCGTAAATAAGCACAAACACCAACTAACTCAGGAATCAATCGAATATCAAAGACTCAATGAGGTTTACTTGTTGCCGACAGGACCTTTTATAACACATTAAGGGTATATATGGTCATTTGAAAAAGTCTAGTAGGTCAATGAGAATAAATGATGGGGCGGGGGTTTTTCCTAGGATTTTACTGCTCAAGTTCCCTTATTACCGTCTTATATTATCTTCTTTCAAACGTTACTGCTGAAAATCTATATACGAGTGGGTATTGATAAATATTGGCTTTGGCAGTTGGAAGTATAATAACAGAATCCTGTTTCCGTAGTAAAAATTTTGACTTTACAGTGTTTCATTAAAAAGTTAAATAATGCATAAAAAAAAGAATGTAAACTGTAAGCAAAAAATAAATAAATTCGAACATTGAGTTATTATAAAGTACCTGTTTCTAAAAGGGTTACGGAGTAAGCAAATTTACTACGATAAACCTAGCAATCAATATGCTCTATGATATCCTGACAATTGGATTGCTTCTTTTAATAAAGTAAAATTATTCCATTCATGATTATTGGAGGTCTGGAAGGTCAATTTCTGTGTCTACCCAAAAACATTGATTCAGCCCAATAGGTGGAATATTAGCAGACCAACGAATTGGATTAAAATATATAGCTGAGACACTGAATATTTCATATGATTCATGATGATTTGCGTAGGAAACAGATTACTGTGAAATGAATTCCAAATGCTTGAACGTAGACACAGTCTGTCCCTGATTTAAAAAAGATCAAGAGATTCTGAACAGGGTTGTCACTATGAATTAAATCTGGGTAGATTTTTACGATCTTGAAACAAAAGAACAACAGTGGGATATAAGCACTGTGACTCTCTAAGACCAAAAAAGGTTTTGAATTCAAAAACCGACAGGAAAAGTTCTTGTCTCAATTTTTTTGGGATAGGCGTGGTGCCATCTTCATTAATTGTCTGAAGCAGGGGGAAACAATAACACAAGAGTATTATTGACAATTGTTGACAAAACTGAGCGAAAATATTTTGTAAAAAAGACGTCGAAAAGTAACTAATGGCATCTTGTTCTTGCAGGAAAATGCACCTGCACACTAGTCGCGGATTGCACTAAAAAAGTTTGCGATTTAGAATTCGTACTGGTAGACCATCCTCCATATTTTTCTGACGCTTCATCTAACTGCTGTCTAATCCTCAAGTTAAAAAAGAGTTTGAATGGAGTTAGGTTTTCTTCCAACAAAGAAGTTATGGAAGCTGTAGAAGGCTGGATGGCAGATCAGGAAGAAGATTTTTATTTAATGTCTTGGAGGCATTAGGACCGCTGTTTACAGTGTATTTAGTTAAGGGGCGATTATTTTGAGTCATATTTTTTTTTCTTTTTAAGTTTTTCTGCAGAAAGTTAACAACTTAACAACACCCCCTCGTACTTACAGATGTTTCTGTTATATGTTTTTAAATCTTCACACAGAACACAGATATTTTTCAAGTATTTTTATGACCTCTTGTGACACCACAGGGTAAGGAAGAGAAAGAAAAAAAAAAACGATGCGACTTAACATGAATACACTTAATAGGGTGCCACAAAAAGTTGACTATTAATATTATATCGATCTTAAACGAAAACCTATTAGTTCTTTTTGATTTAATAATGCTTTCCAAAACATTCACACTTTTTAATAATAATGTTATTAGTTCTTGTAAAAAAACTTGTAAATACATACGTTAAAATTGTTCACACAACGAAGAAAGTCTGTTAGAGTAGCATATAATAGTAAAATAGTCTACAGAAACAATAATTTTCATTTTTCTTAACTAATTGATTACAAATACAAATAANAAAGTCTGTTAGAGTAGCATATAATAGTAAAATAATCTACAGATACAAATATGTACTTAATTAAACAATAATTTTCATTTTTTTTAACTAATTGATTACAAATACAAATAAATATAACGTATATCAAATATAAATTATAAAATCAACATCATGAGTAATAAAAAAGTTTGCTTACGGTTTCATAAAAATTAATTATTCTAAACACTACTTACCAGGAAAATTAAAAAAATATTCACCCTACTTACCACAACTTCTAATGTGAATACTTTACCAGTTTTATCTTCAATAGTTCGACATTTATTATACGAACTGCTGATAGCGTCAGTGATTACGTTATGGCTGATAATACCATCAATAAATCCAAAATTCTTAAAAAGTCGCTTGGGACAAGCCAGTTTATATATATATACGCAGTTTTCGTAACAGAGAAAGAAAAGAGTCACTATACTTTAATTATTACTTTAAAAAATGAAATTCGCTACCTTTGCGAACTATTATAGACTTTCCATGTAAGCACATATGCAAGAATGAACCTATTTCTTTAGCTGAAGAAAATGTTACTTAATTATTACTATTCCGATTTTACTATCTGTACTTAAAAAATTTTACATTTAATATTGATACACATAGCAGGTACATATTTGCTGTCCACATGTAGATCAAGTCAGTACTGCGTCTGCCAATAGACAAAGGAAATTGTAAAAAGGTCACTTTTTCGTAAGTGATTATGCCAATCACTTAGAAGTCATTTGACTCAGTAATGTATAAATTTTCTCTGTCATATTCCACTAAACAGACTGCAGAAAAATTCGTATCGCATTATTATCATTAGGTTCTTAATATCTCTAGATTTTTGAGGAACCAATCTTTGTGCTATTTTTTTTGTGAACTTGGATATAGATAACTTTCTCCGCAACGCGCTTTGCACTTCAGTCAGAAATTGATCTGGCGAAAGCATTCCTTGTTTAAAGCAAGTGAAGAATTAATTCAGAGGTCTTCATTATGCCATAAGCCATGACTACATCATAGAGTTTTTACTTGTGGCTTCTCTCGCGTTGATGTCCTACATACGTGTCAAAGATAATCGACGACCACATAAAACAAATTCTTTTCTATTCCTTGGGAACAGTATATATTTTCTGGATAAATGGTACCCTATGTCCTTTTCTGTACTCCTGACAATGCCTGTACAAAATTTCATGATGATCAGAGGAGTAGTTAAGACGTGAAATGGTAATAAACAAAAAACCAATTTTATTATTGCCAATGAAAAGTTACGTAAAAAGTGTAATTCTTGTTTCATTGTGTCAATAAATTTTAACTTGTTAGCACAACTAACACTGGTATATTACAAGGACTGTATTCATGTAAAAGTCTAAAAATCGTAATTCTAGAGTAGATTATGAACGATTTAAATAACATTGAAATTAGTTTAGCACAGTAAAAGAAAGTTTGGGAAATTTTTTCGAACGGCATCAACTACAGAAGCTTCGTAATCTATCTTGAAGTTTTTTGGATAAAATTTTGAAATAATTCAACATAAATTGGAGAAGAAGATCCAAGATAAGTTTCTGTAGTGGGGGTGGGAGACAAGGTTTGCCTTACGTTCGTAACGATTTAGAACTGGAAAGCTGGCGGCTTTGAATACGCGGAAAACTAAAGCTAAAATTTGTTCACGGACAATATATGTATAGAAACTGTAATTGTTCATAATTATTGGAAATTCAAGTTGAAACCTTTTACAATGCACACCTTATAAAATCGAATGAAGGAGGGTGAGGGATGAAGGCCAAAAATTCATGAGTTTTGCATCACGTAATTTAAGTACATCTCCTAAGTACGTAGAAATTGGTATAATTTAGCCATCTTATAGCTTTTATTTACATAAGAAAATAAAATTTCACCCAAATAATTGGGAAGTTTTTTAAAAGACACTCAAAAACTTTACGTATGTTGTAGACAACCCCCTCTTTTCTATTGGGCATTCTGGGTAAATACGCAGGGTCCCACGATCGACAGGGCCCCCTAGGTTTTGCCAGATCCATCCACCAATCAAAAACCAATATTTATTACCGATAAATATATTTATTTTAGGGAAATCAACCAACCAAATTATTCATTCATTCATTCATTAATTGTGATTGTAAAGAAATAAAAATAATTGTTCAATAAGTTTACAATTTTGCTTATCTACTCTTTTTGGCTGTAAGTGTCAAAGAGTCCCCGTTATCCTTATGTACCCAGGGCCTGCAATAGGCTAAAGACGATCCTGGTTGTAGGTACATTTAAATAGGAAAATCTTCTTTTATTAATCATGTTTCTTTCCTTTGCTATCTTTGTTTAAACTTTCGAAAAGGTGTTTACAAACTTTGACCACCAAGGCAAAATTCTCAACGGAAAGAAAAAAAAATAATTTGCATTCATTACGTCTTTAACAAGAAACAAGAACGCAAAGCAGGTATTTATTAAAATTCTAATATTCATATCCACCTTATATTATAACGAGGACAAGCAGTTCTCTTCTTAAACCTGATCAAACTACTGCAAAGGTGTTAGAAAAAGTTTTCCATTTACCTAGTGAACATATATCTATACGAGTAAGTGTTTGAGAATTGTGTTGTTTATGGTTAGCTGATACCATGTTGGACAATTTACCGAAGAAAACTTCCATTATTAAGACAAAAGAGAAATGGAAGGTCTCGGCATCGACCAATGCGAAAAATTGCAAGAACTACATTCGCGAACTTGTAGATAATTTGGTACTTGAACCTAACCCCGAGAAACAAGTCATTGCCTTATCTCTAGGTTGGTATTAAGATATTTTTTATACGTTTATTTTCAATATGTACCCATTTCATTATTAATTCTACGTCCTTTAGTTAATTCATTTCTTTTTAAATTTGAATACTATAAATTTAACAATTAACAAGGGAACGTAGAAAGCTAGGTTTATTTTATGTACAGTCTATTAAGTTACTGATTATATTTTAAATAATATTATTTTGCTAAAAAAAGTTAAGTACGGAGTATTTGCTTTGCTCCTTCGAATCCTACAAAATTAATTTCAGTGAGTATTACATCATACAAAAATAATTCCCTTTACATAAAAAACAAAAAATGCAATTGCTTCTCTTTTAGTGGAAAAAGTAGCTAATTTTAATGTAATAATGTTTTGCTATTTTTGTAATAAGATTTCCAAATATTTTTAATGAATTTACCTACCTTATTACCTTAATATTCCCTATAAATTAATTTTTGATGTGGTACTATTGAGCGAGAATTAAATTTTAAATAACTTTTTATATTTTAAAAATAATGAAATGAATAGTATCTAGAGAAAAAATGAAGTTTTGTTATAAACAAAATTACTACTAACTTACACAATTTCAGCCACATTTCAGAGTGCATTTGTATAAATATGCGTTCTTTAAAAATATTACAAATGAATAGACTAATGTCGTATGTATGTAACGTATTAGTAGTAATTATAAAAAATTGATTTTCCTGCTTTATAAACATATTTATATAATTTTCTTCGCCGTTTCTTCGATACAAGTACGATTCAGAATTAATTTTAACATAAACAATGTTATAAACAACAAGTTGCTTGGTCAACGTAGAAACATTTTCTACGATCTTGCCTTTTTTTATGTAAATCTCCCGGAACCTGCTCAAGCAAAAGATACGTCTTTATAATATTATCTTCTGTTATCGATGCGTAATATACATGTAAAGGTTAAAATAAAAATGGAAAATTTATATACAATTAAGCTTTTGCTTGCATTTATAATAGAACATTTCAATACACTAAGAGAATTCTGTTTGACACAAAAAGAAAGTTTGATCAATCAGAAGAAAATTTTAATGAAGAAATTAATTAATTTCACATGAGTGTTCCAAATTTTTTAACAATTTTGAAATACATGTGTACCTACATTATTATTATTGGAAAAAGAACCAGAAATTTGACTTCTTTGGACAAAAATGTTGAATAATTAAAGATCTGTATTTAAATATTTTGTTTTTTGCAAAAGGAATGCGAGATTTTCAACGTATGCAAATATATACAACAATTTGTAATATAATTATTATAGTTAAGTTTGTAATATAAACCATTCAGAAAGTTGTTTCTGGCTTGATTAACTAGTTTTCGCGTCATTGTAGGTACATTATTATGACGTTTTATTACAGATTAAAAATTAAACAGAAAACTATAGAAGAGATAAAATATTCGGCAATATTTGGAAGAATAATTAATTAGATTTGCAGTTGAGCAATATTAGCATCTAGCAAAAGAGTTAGAGGTAGTCTTAAATGAAATGGAAGCGGCACTGATAAAGCAATATTGTATGAAAATAAATAAAAGTAAAACAAAAATACTGCTATGTAAGGGAAGAAAAAGTAAGGAAAGAGCGAATATAGGATAGGAGACGAAAGATTAGAAGAAGTGGCTGATTTTCAGTATCTAGGAAGACAGATAAGTCAGGACGGAAGGAGTAGTAGGGATATAAAGCAGAGGATAACGCGGGGTTGAATCACATTCAATAAAAGAAGTAACTTCTATGCTCGCGAACAGTCAATTTAAAAAATTTAAATAGATTGTTAAAGGTGAATGTTTGGAGCGCGGCGCTGTATGGGTGCGAAACATAAAATAAAAGGTTAGAAGCGTTCGAAAGCCGAATGATGAAGATACCATGGATAAATAAGGTTGAAAATAAAGAGATATTAGAAAGAATAGGAGAACAGAGGACTCTATGCAAGCCAATAAGAGATAGGCGAGATAGATTGGTAGGACACCTTCTCAAGCATGAAGGGCTAGTCAGCGACATATTAGAGGCAGAAACAGGAGTTAAGAGGAGTAGAGGTACTGTTCGCAAATAGTTAAGGACATAGGATATTCTAGTTATAGGGAAATGTGAAGATTAGCTCAGGACAGGAAAGAGTGGAGGTGCGTGTCCAATCAGTCTTAGAACTGACGACCTTATAATGATGATGTTTTAAGAGAAAATGGCAACCAAAACTCCAGCCATAATTTCTTCTATACCTGCATACTGCACTTGGGAGGTTTAACATGGCGAAAGTTGGAAATGTTTGTAGAATGATGAACGAAAATGGAATTTGTATAGAAGTAATTTAAGGGTTGAAATTTCCACATAAACATAAAAAAGCACCTAAAGAACCAACTGTGATTTTCGTCATTGCGTAGGTAGGCTTGTAAACTACAGTCCAATATTTCCCTTGGTTCTCAAAAGAATTAGCTTGAATAGGCAATAAAAAGCACAAAAATAAAATAAAGAAAGTACTCTCTCCTATTTTTTTTTAGTTCTTTTTTATGCTCTTAATATGTCTCTAACTAATATCCTTCATATCTAGTGTTGGATATGCTAATAAGCTGTATATGCCGCGATCTAGGATGGGGTTTGGAGGCAGTTGATTTTAGAGACAGAAAAAGCTCAGTTTTTCGTGCAGCATTATCCTTACAATTTAGAGGTCGATTTGGTTCAGTTTGTGTTTGTGTTTGTGTACTTTTTCACTGTCAGGTTTTCATTAACAGGGCTGTAGAGAAACCCGAATCAATATCATCATTACCATTATGTAATCTCTCAACATTTATGAGGAACTAATCTTTGCGCAACTTTATTTTATATTAGTGATAAAACATTACACGAATCCTTCAAATATTTCTTCTATCCTATAGGACGCAAACGGAATAGCATATAAAAGTTAGCCAAGCTTATTTTTAGATTTTAACCATTGATCTACTACCGGAAGAAGAGACTAGACATAATTTCACTTAAATTCGATTGATAATTTTTGGGATATTTGATTGTGACAGACACAGATAGACCGATGATATCATCCGTATGAAATCCAAAAAAAAAAAACGAACAAGCATGTCAAATTTTGTCTGTTATCCTATAGTAGCCAAGGTTCATAAAATCCAATTTTTGTAGTATAAGTATAAAAATTGGATAAAAAGATTGTTCTTCTTTAGGAGATCCAACAGTTTATGGAAACCTTCAAACTGCAAACGAAGTGGTGGAAGCTGTGTTGGATACAGTAAGGGATGGTGCCTGTAATGGATACGTACCCTGTTTAGGTCTTCCTAAAGCTAGAAAAGCAGTCGCCAAATACCTTTCTCGAGATAACGTTATCTATGAAGAAAAAGATATTATACTATGCAGCGGGTGCTCACATTCTTTAGAACTCTGTATCACAGTCCTTGCAGACCCAAAAAAAGGCCATAATATACTTATACCGAAACCTGGTTTTCCACTTTATAGGTAAGTACAAGATAATAACAGACAAAAGTATTTTATGAGTCTGTTTTTGAATATGAACCCCAAAAGAAGTAAAATCAGAAGAATCTTGCATTGGAATTTTGATATAACTAAATCATTATTGTTAAACACCCTTTATAGTGCATCTCGCGACAGTTATTAATCGTAAATTAGGAATTCCCTACAACTGAATATACCCCCGGTCTATTCCTTATTGTGTATTATATTTTCATTTTACACAAATAATATTTAACCGTTTACCTGTTGCATTATAAAGACTATTACTAAATATTTCTGTTTTCATTAGATCTGTTATTATTATTATTTAGAAAGAAGGGCATTCAAAAATAGAAAATATCGAAATAGATATAGACGTATATAAGGATTTTTTTAATTAGAAGCAATTAGTAAGGGTTGAAATGTTCTTTATTGATTATGTAATCTGTATCAACGTTTCGCCTTCCGATCTAGGACTTTATCAAAGTCGATTACTTGGGTAATTAATTATACTAGACGGAGACACTGGAATTTCTTGTGTAATCACTCGAGAAATTACATAATATTTACTGGGTGGTTCTAATTGAAAAAGTCTTGGGGAAGATAGTACAAAGGATAGATTTATACTCTCAGAACAGTGTTTTTATCATAAAAGAATATTCTTTTAAAAATAAATTATTATAAACCTAATTTAGAAAGTCAAAAATATTTTCAGAACTCTTGCTGAAAATTTGGGTGTAACAGTCAAAATGTACAACCTCCTTCCAGAAGCGAATTGGGAAATTGATCTGAATCACATGGAAAGTCAAATAGATGAAGATACTGCAGCTATCATAATAAATAATCCTTCTAATCCTTGCGGGTCCATTTTTGACTATAACCACCTTAAAGATATTCTCGACGTTGCCGAAAAATACAAAATACCAATTATTGCCGATGAAATATACGAAAGACTTGTATTTCCCGGTAACGTTTTCGTCTCTGCGACATCAGTGAGCAGTCAGGTTCCAATGCTGGTTTGTGGAGGTTTAGCAAAGCGATTTCTAGTTCCGGGCTGGCGAATGGGATGGATAGCAATACACGATCCGATTGGTGCTTTTGAAAATGAGATTAGGACCGGATTATGCAGTTTATCTCAAAAAATAATTGGAAGTAATACCATTGTTCAAGGAGCTCTCCCGCGGATATTAGAATGCACCCCGCAAACATTTCACGATGGTTTAATAGATACTTTATACGAAAACGCGAGGATCGCCTATAAATATTTATCAACGGTTAAAGGGCTGGAACCCTTTATGCCCCAAGGTACCATGTACATGATGGTAAAGATTCAAATGAAAAACTTTCCTCAGTTTAGTACCGGACTTGAATTAATGCAGAAGATGATGGAAGAACAGTCAGTGTTCTGTCTACCGGGTGATGTAAGTTTTATTACATTAATAGCTTTAGTAGCTAATCATCCAGATTTATATTAACTTAACCATATATAGTTTAAAATTTAAAACAGTAAAGATTTAATTTCACATAACCCACGACGATATTAAGCAGCGGATAGCGAGTCACCTTCAATAAAAAGAAAACGATTAATTTAGAAATTCGAAAAAGATTGTTAAAGGTGTATGTTTGGAGCGCGGCTTTGTACGGGTGCGAAACATGGAGGGTGGGCGCGGCGGAAAAGAAAATATTAGAACTATTTGATGTTATAGCCTAATGATAAATGTACCGTAGATACAAAAGGTTAGAAATGAAGAGGTATTAGAAAGAATAGGTGAACAGAGGACTCTATGAAAGTCAATAAGAAGTAGGTAGGTAGGACACCTTCTCAGGCATGAAGAGAGAGAGAGTCAGATACATATTAAATGCAAAAATAGGAGTTAAAAGAAATGAAGGTAGACCTACATTAGATTACTGTTCGCAAATCGTAAGGGATGTGGGATATTCTAGTTTTAGGGTAATGCAAAGGTTAGCTCAGGATAGAAAAGAGTGAAGGTGCGTGTCCAACCAGTCTTAGGACTGACGACCTTATGATGGTGAACCCAAGACGCTTTTATTAATGCCAAGTTGTGCATCGTTTTCTAGAGATTCATACCTCAAAAGGAAAAAAGGAACCCTTATAGACCAGGAACGCGTGGATGTATTAAGTTGAAATTAATAATAAACACTCAGGTCACAAGTTTTCTGGAGTTATAAAAAATCAAACTTTTAAGTCAATGAAATCCAAAGATACGACCATCTATGTCGCAAATTTTGACACTGGTAAAGGAATCAAAACCTTTAGGATACTTCTAATAGACTTAGAATCAGGAACTTTGCCAAGAAACAATGTCTTATAGCACAAGCAAAAGGAAAAATCTGAAAACCGTAAATTTATAGTTACATCACAAAAAAATAAACTTTGAAGTGTAATATTGTAATTGTACATTTTGGGGCTGATTTTGGGGAAACTTAAAACATAAACTTGTCAGCTTTTGCTTAATGATGTAAAAATATCTATTACTTTGTCGAAGTTGAGAAATTTTACGATTTTTCTCTCGATGAACATAATTGCTACATTACCTACCCATGAAAATTTTACTTCCCGGCCGAAAGCAAATAGTATCACAATATTAAGGCGTTTAGAGATTATTTCCTTGTGGTTTTACTTATCATTCTAGTGGAACTCAAAGAGTGTTAAATATATGGCTGTTTTGGTTTGACGTTAACCCTGAACTAGCTCTCCCTTATTGTATTTTTTCAATTTTTCCTAAATCATTCTTTAAAGTCACGAAAATCCCATTAAAAAAAGTTGTTAACTGTTTCTTGAGTTATTCAAAAACTGTATTTATAAAAATCTTCATATCAGCATTGTTGATAATGATCTGTTTGACGTTATTTTAGAATATTTTCATATGTAAGGTATTTATTAAACACGGAAAAACTTCAAAGGCTTAGTTCTTTAGTCATTCTAAAAATATTTGATTTTTGATCACTTTTGGAAAACCGTTTTGTTTCAAATTATTAGAAATTAAATTTTAATTTAACGTATTGAATTGTTATCTACCAAAAATCCATTTTGCTATTTTTAAAATTATTAATGTAGCCGAAATTAAGGAATAGCATGCTATAGTTTTCTCAACAAGTGAAATAAAGGATTTTCACAATAACCATTTAAATTTAAATGTGAACGGCTAATTATTTAAATGTAATAAAATAATTTAGGTACGTTATACTAGAACCCATCTTTATGAAAAGAGACATAACAATAAAATTACACTAGCAAGGATTTGTATTGTGACGAGATTTTTTTGAACACATTTTGTTTATGATTAAATGAAATATTTATAAATGTAGAAATAGACGTTAAACTTACGTTTTAGGCTTTTGGAATACCAGGATATATGCGTCTAGTAATTACGATCCCCAAGGAGCTGATAGAAGAGGCCTGTAAAAGGATAACTGAATTTTGTGGGAAGTATTTTATGGAAGTGCAATAAAATAAAAAGTTGAGTCAAACTTTATCTGCAAATACAATTTATTACAAAAAGAACTGTATAAATCAAATACCATTTTTTTTTCAATGTTGACATATCATATATAGATACGTAGGTATACAATAATACTGTTACATACACAAAAAAATAAATAAAAATATTAAGAGGATTTTGAGTTATTTCTAAATTGAAATGTGAAAAAATGTAAATCCCTGAAATAGCTCAAAGGGAAAACCCACTATACAACAATAAAAAAAGTAAAAGTATTTTATTTTTGCAAATTAAATGAAACCAGAAACATGAAACTTAATAACGAAAACATAACAGTACGCCCTTATTGTGTATTAAATAACCAAGGGTGCAAATGAATAAATGAAATAAACTGTAAAATAAAAAATAATGATAAACAGAAACAAGTTCCCGATTTAATAATATTAATCACAGACAATAAATGAAGGAGGGTGAGGGATGAAGGCCAAAAATTCATGAGTTTTGCATCACGTAATTTAAGTACATCTCCTAAGTACGTAGAAATTGATATAATTTAGCCATCTTATAGCTTTTATTTACATAAGAAAATAAAATTTCACCCAAATAATTGGGAAGTTTTTTAAAAGACACTCAAAAACTTTACGTATGTTGTAGACAAGCCCCTCTTTTCTATTGGGCACTCTGGGTAAATACGCTGGGTCCCACGATCGACAGGCCCCCTAGGTTTTGCCAGATCCATCCGCCAATCAACAATCAATATTTATTACCGATAAATATATTTATTTTAAGGAAATCAACCAACCAAAATATTCATTCATTCATTCATTCATTTATTCATTCATTGTGATTGTAAAGAAATGAAAATAATTGTTCAATTAATTTACAATTTTGCTTATCAACTCTTTTTGGCTGTTTTAACAAAATATCCTTTGTCAAAGTCATAGAGACGCCGTTTTCCTTCTGTGCCCAGATCCTCCAGTAAGTTAAAGNTTATATGAATTTATCTAGTACGAAACGATTTTTTACTATACCCTCTAACGAAAGTACGATATTATTGTTGATATACAGTAAAAAGTTAGCAAAATTCGGACTTAAGATATGTATGTAAAAATATTTAAATAGGTCTCGTTCTTGACCACTTCCTTTTCTACGTTCTATATGTTAAGGCAATTGCTTCATTCAAAACCTTTTAAGTCCCTTATAAATTACAACGACTTGTGAATAAGACTGCCAATCATAATTGTAAAAATGCTGATACAATTTACTAGTCCGACTTAACTTTATAACTTTATATTTAATGCCTACCTAAGCAAAAGCAAAACTGCTGATGTAGATTTAGATTTTAGGTTTCCCTCACTTCATTGTATTTAAAATTATGTAAATATTTTGTCACAGTTAAGCTGTAAATTAAATAATAACAATGTAATGCGTAGTTTATTGTAACCACAAGACACTTTAAAACCCTAACAAATACGATATTAAAATGATGTGTATACTTAAACTTTAATCATATTTTTTGGTCAAGTAAATCGTTTTAACAAATAAATATGTCCGCAAAAGTAAATTTATGTTTTTTTGGGTAGTTTATTTATTATCTAACTTACTGTGGTGTTTATAATTCATTGCCTTTTTGTCCTAGCGAAAACAAATTTTAAAAACATTTCAGTAACATTTTATAAAATTAAATTATAATTAATAAATAACATTCAGATTCGTTAGTAAATAAAATATGTCAGTAATACAGTTTTCAGAATGTATACAAAAAAAAGGCGCTTAACTACTAAAAGCCAGTATGATTACTAGGGTGGTCCCTTTTTCTATTTCTTTTTCGATTCTGTTTGCTGTTTACATATTTATCCAATGGTAATTAATTTCTTTTATTAGTTCAAGAATTTTAAAAGCTTTCAAATTATAAAAACTTTTTTGTTTAATTTTTATTTTTCTACATTAAAATAAATGGATCCCCTTCAATTTACAGCTTAAAATATTTATTTAAAATAGTTATATTTTCTACCACCGTATATATTAATGGTTCATTTTGTTTTTAATTTTAATTTATTTACATAAAGCAAATGACTAGGTAGTCGATGTACCAGCATGATATATTTGCAATGAAAATTATCTCGAGATTCCTGTTTTATATCAAGTTATTAAAAGTTATGAGTGTTCTCTTGTTACTACTCTGTATTAACGACAGCCGCGCATCAATTGTGTGAGCGGGCTGATTCTATGCAATTCAGGAGAGTGATAATAAATTGAAATATTTCGACTTGTAAATTAAGGAGAATCGCCATTCTTAATGCAGACAAGATAAAAATGGTCAAAAATAAAGATTTAAGAAAAAAAGCTCATTAGTCAATCGAAAAAAAGAAACTTGGTCAAAAAAGAATGCCACCCTTGCTAGTAGCCACGTTTCTAAAACAAGGACTGTTGTTTCAATTTTCTTATCTGTAAAAAGTTTCGGATTCACTTACTGTCTTCATCTTCAGGCACGCACATAAATAGTTTGGCACATGTAAGATTAAAATTGTCAAACAACCTATTCAACCAACTCGGTTTAGTTTGCCACCAGATTGTTACGAAATAAACAGGTATCCCGCAAATAATTAATATCATCCCAACCCCCACTTCCAACGGGCTAACATAACACGGAAATGTCACCAAAAACACGCAAATTGCGAAGAACAAAATCGGTAATGCCAAATGCACTTGAATCGGTCGATGCAAGTCTGGTCGCTTGTATCGCAACCACAAAAGTCCCAAAACACTCATACTAGTGAAGACGGCTTCTACGAACGAAACGTAGTTTATTAACACGTACACGTCTTCGATTACTATCAACGCCAGCGTGATGACGCACTGTAAAATTATATTTAAAGATATAATAATTTCTTAGATATCGTTTTAATTTTTATTGATAAATTTATGAAAAATCACTCTAATGAATAGAGGGAGTATTCCTGAATAATGCGTCAACGAAACATTTTTCGATTAAATGCTTAGTTTTTCCTGCTTGACTTCTTAATTATCAAAATCAATCAAACATTAGCCAATAATTGTTCAAGTAAATGTTAGTTAACTTTGACGCCCCTTGACGAAAAACTAGCCATTTAAGCGAAAAACGTATCATTGAAACACTGTCTAGGGACTTCCCCTATATTCATTTCTGCAATAACCTCAGATGGCGCATTTCGAAGAACAATAATCTGAAATGTTCACAGAGGTACCAAGATACTGGAACTCTAATATAAAAAATGGCGAATGCTTTGTTATAGTCTTCTTCAAAAGTTTAAAATGTCCTGTAAAAATCCAGATTGTTTTGAAATTTTTTACTAGTTTCAAAAATGGATAATTTCGTCATTTTCCGCTAAAATCAATTTTTTTTAAACTAATAATAAATTTATGGATTAGTACGATTTATTATTAATCACCTATGAATTTTTGCACTTATTAATGACTTTATAGGGGTTCCGTTCTTTAGCAGTACTTACTTTTATTTAGATTATACATGAAAACAGGTAAATGGTTAATACAACATAAATGTTTTAAACAACCAATTTACACATCTTTGACTATCAACAGGACTTTTTAATCGTTTTTTTTTCTTTTTTCTATCCCAATAAAATTAGACTCAAAAAAACTTTATTTTGATATGTTCCTGAATAGTATCTCTAACTTAAGCTAGAGCTTCTCTTAGTAAATGAACTTCAGATTTTTGTACATTTTTCTAAAATTATCAATTTTAGAAAGAAAATAGTTTTGTACAAAAAATGTCTGTAGACTTATTTCGTAGAACCAACCGTTTAAGAAACATAAGTAAATTGAACGATGTCTACATTACTCTTGTTAAAAAAAAAAGTTACTTACAAGAAATACTAATGATGGCACTGGTGTTAATCTTTTAATGTCGATGAGAGCGATCGCCTTGGGCAAATGACCTTGTCGTGCTCCCACAAAAAATAACCTTGAAGACGCGAAAATGGCCCCATTCAGCGATCCAAATGTCGAACAGGCGACAAAAAAGGGCATGATGAAAGAAAACGCTCCTAACATTTTGTCTGCAAACGTAACAGCTACAGCTTGCGATGTTAACATTTCATCGCGACTTAAAACAGCGAAGTAGGCCACGTTCGTCACAACGTAAACTCCAGTTACCAAAGGCATCGAAATACAAATAGCACGGGGAAGATTTCTATAAATAAAAAAACGTTTTTGGAAATATAAAATACCTACAATTTAAGATTTTGTTAACAACAAGCAGGAAAAAGAATAAACAGACAGAGACGTGTTTCGCCGAACTGATTGTAAAATGTGTACACCTGACAATGCGACTCACAGTGTGGCGAAACGATATTTAAGAATTAAAATAAAAAAATGGGGAAAAACCTGTAAGGATCTTTTAGTTCTTCGGTAACAAAGTTTAAATAGTTCCATCCAGAATAAGAAAACAGACCCGAATAGAAAGCCAGGGCAACATATCCTGGATCGGTTTGCGTTCCTGCCATAGGATTGGCAAAGTGTTTAAGATTCCCTCGGCATAAATGCCACAAGCCAATGGCCACAATAAGTGCCAATGCCATGATCTTCGTGGCTGTGAAAACATCCTGGACTCTCGTAACCCATCGCACGTTGCAACAATTTATTGCAGTTAATAAACATGTTGCAACTGCTGCTAGGAGTCTTACGGCCTCGTAAGGGGGTTCACAACCCATCCACATAGGTTGCAAAATATATTGGGCAAATGTTATGGCAGTTATGGCATTACCCGTGGGTACCAATATGAAAAGAGCAACCCATAGGTAAAGGAATGCCGGCAATGGACCAAAAGCTTCCAGAATGTACGCATAATCTCCTCCAGATTTTGGAATCATGGTTCCTGAAAATTAATATTTACGAGAATACAAAACATAATTATTTGCAAAGTTCGTCTGACCGATAATAATGATTAAAAGCAAGAAACATTTGACACTGAACAACTTTTATATAACTTTTTCTATTGGGCTCATATTTTACAGGGCTGCCATTTAAGTGAAACCTTCTTTTTTCTAGTTTTGAACACTCTTTATAGTAAATCAAATTTGTTTGAAAATATACTTCGATTAAATATACTATTGGGCCGCACTTAGCGTNGCTTTTAAATAAAACGGTAAATATGAGCCAATATCAGAATTTATGATTTTTATTTCTGCGTCACATATCAATTCAGTTTGCTTTCCCGTATTAATCAAAAGTGTTTGACTTTACCATGTTGAGCAGGAACTCTTTATAGTAAATCAAATTTGTTTGAAAATATACTTCGATTAAATATACTATTGGGCCGCACTTAGCGTATTGCGAATCTTTTGGACCACCCAGTATATGCAATAAAAAAGGAAGCTAATTGTAAAAAAGTACTTTCACCCTCTACCCTTATAACACACCATTACGTTTTACTGTCCCATTTAAGACAACGTGGACGGTGGGGGCGGCGGAAAAGAAAAAATTAAAAGCATTCAAGATGTGATGTCAAAGCGGATGATAAAAGCATCGTGGACAGAAAATATTAAAAATTGTTGTACAATGCAAAATGTAAAGAGTGCAGAAAAACGCAACTAAATTTGAATCATTGGTTTAAAGATGGCGACATATTAAAATTTCATAAATACTTTCACTTTTTCGACTTTGAAGAAAATTTCAGATTTTTTCAATCCTTTTTGCACCAACTCCCGCTAAAGATAATGATCCTTGTCTTTCTCTAAATATAGTACCTACTATCCTCAGGTCAAAATCATCTGTTTTAGAAGCCCTGTTTCAATAGGTTGGCAAATATTTAGTTAGGACAATGACGTAAGTAAAAGGTTTAATACGTGTTTAATTTTTACCGTTAGTATTTTTTGATACAAAATGTGACGATAATCTCAGAGTCTACCCTAACGCTAATTAGGCCACTGAGTTAAGGATAGTTTATGTTACATTATGAATAATTTTTTGAAACTTTTCTTTAACGTCATTGTACCTACCTATAATACAGTATATCAGTAACATCTGTAATTTTCATGATCCATTTCCTTTTAATACTGATATACATCGTTAACGCGTTTATCTTCGGCCTAAATTCTAAAGCAATCACAGTGCTGAATCTACATTCCCTTCGAATGAAAATATTTTAACGGTATGCGCTGAAATAATTACAAATAATCTCAAAATGCTTATAATGGTACTTTAATACTTAACAAATTAGTAAGATGCGTTTTTAAAAATTATATTACTATACCTAACTGTCCAAATTCTCGATATTTATTTTCTTTCTTTATAAAGATATGTACCTTAATAAAAAAAGTTATTTTTAATTTTTCTTTTATTTCGTAAGTATTTATTATTAGATATTATCGAATTCACGAGAGATTGTTGTCTGTGGGCCGTTATGTTCGTTTTCATGATAATAAAAACAAATCCAGCAGTTTACAATTTTTTCTACAACGAATATCCTAGTAACAATAGATAACGAAATAATGTTCTTATTACCAAACATACAGGTTCACATATGTACTTTTTTCATGTAAATAAACATTTTTTTTTGAATAACAATATATTAAAGTAGGTACTCTTTGTATTATTCTCGCTGACTTTTCATTCGATCAAATATAATTTAACTTTGAACAATGTTTGATTATTCCATACATTATAGACGAATAAATTTAAGTTCTTTCATATTTGAACAAGGATTCTACCGCCACGCCATGGGCCATGATATACATATACATATAAAAATGATGCAAGAGTCATGCAAATTTCTGTGCCGTATTGTACACGCATGACTGTGTATGTATTCTGAACGTATTATACAAATGTATAGGTCCCCCTGTTTAGTACCCTACTTATTCAACAAGACCACGTGTGACTTTATTATATACATACATCCATACAAATATATATATGTTATTGATATAAATACCTACCCAATTCTGCGTAACATAGGGCACCAATCATTGATAAAAGTCCGGACATTATCCAAACGATAAGGGCCTGCCCTGTTGATCCGGAATACCTTAAAACACCCTTCGGCGAAACAAATATACCAGAACCTATTATAACCCCCACAATTATCGCAACCCCGTCAATTATCCCCAGTTCTTTCTTCATTTTAACACCCGGAGCCGAAGAATCTGTTGGATGAGCCACAACATCACTTTTTACAGCACTTTTACGTTTACCCATTTTGTCTTTTTTTTTTCGTTTTAAAAACAGGTGGTTGAATAAAAAGAGTTCACTTCCTTATTAGGCACTAACTTAAGCCGAAAATTTAACGACCACGTGCTTTTGCTACCGGACTAATTGTAAATTAAAAATATAGTCCTTCTGTTGTTGACCTCAACATCAGCTAACTATATACGAGCGGGAACATGCGGTTTGAAACAGTTTGAAATTAAACACGAAAGACCTGAAGATGGCGGGAAGCCCCCACCTCTCTAAGTCTACACAACTTTTAACAGTAACACCTACTAAGTATATCCCATATCGTAATGATAAACTTAAGTCACCTGCTTAGAAATACGAATTTAAGTAAAAGTTGCGCATATTTTATACGATTAATAAGACTGTTCGCTTTTCAAATTCAAATTTGACGAATAAAACATGATTTCAAACTGTATTTTTTTATAAAGAATAGAAATAACACAAATAAATTTATCTGTTCAAGGATTTTCTCATATCCGACGTCTTATCAAAAGAATGCTGTGCGGTATATCGCAAAAATTTCAGAATTACGTACCTGTCTCATATGTGCTATATACTGACACAGGATTGCACTAGGATTACATAGATAAATTCATAAAGCCAACAATTAAAAATTTTTAAATTGTGAAGTACAAAAAAGGGATATTAATAAACTTTAAATTAATTGATCTTATATGAATGTCAAAGTTTGTCGTAAGTTCTTCTCGGAGTTTATAAAGAGAAGGGAATGAAACTCACATCATTCGAAAAATACTGTGCCATGTTAGATTAGCACAAAACAAAAATCACATTTTTTTTATGTAAATGACAACATTTCTGCATTCCATGCCGTTATCAGTGGTGAATAATACGGAACGAACTGAAAGGTTTACAGTTAAATAAAGAACATGGCATCACAATCCAAAAACTCAACTTGTATGTTATCTAATATACCGGCCATGATAGCTTAAGAGAAATTGTATTATAAGCGACTTAATAGAGAATCCCTTAATCGTTTAGTAACGATAAAATTATCAAACGTATGACTTATTAGTTTAACTTAAAAATATACCTCATAAAAATATATAAAAAATATATACATACATGTATTTTCATTACTAAAACTTTTGTATATAGTATTTTATGAAGACTTTTATTAATTTGTACTTTTTTCATAATTTTAATTTCAGCTCCTAGTTTCTAGGAGAGACATGCGTTTAACGCACATTTTCGCCGAGAAGTTTGAAAATGACTAAATGAAACTAAAAAGATTGTTTTTAATTGTTTATATACTTATATTTTACTTTTAAAATAAGGAATATTTGCACTCTAATTTGGCATTAATATTTATTAATTTCTTCCCTTTAATGTGTGGAATTTTAAACAGGCACGAAAAACATTCAAATTTCTAAATTACTATAAGTCGATCTCCGCTATTTATCTGTTCTCTTTCAACAACGTTATGTATCTGTTATCATTTTATAAGGGCGTTCAACCGGGTTAATTAATGAAAAGCTTTATTAAAAGTGGGTACCGTTTTCTTAATGCTTGTTGTCTCGTTTAGGTTGCTTTTAAATAAAACGGTAAATATGAGCCAATATCAGAATTTATGATTTTTATTTCTGCGTCACATATCAATTCAGTTTGCTTTCCCGTATTAATTAAACTTGTTTGACTTTACCATGTTGAGCAGGATGTCCTGAAAAATTGTATCTGTACGTATGTATGTTACGTTAAATATTCATATGGATTATATGTACAGTCACTTCACAAAATTGTAGATACTTTCCCCGATTAAACAACCAAACAAGTTGAACCCGCTCAAATATAATGCAAGAAGGTAGATAAGTATAGCGTTTTTACAAATATCGTTTTAGAGTAAAATTCGATCATTTTGGTTTTAAAGAAATTCTGATAAGTCTAAGTTCAAAGATAATTTGATTTTTAATTGAAAGAAATTCCCCACAAACAAAAGTAAAACACACCCAGGGGATTACGAGTTCCTTTTATGAACTTATGAAATCCAAATATATTTATTCCAAGTTTCTGCTATATTAAAAATTAAAAATACTCCTCCGGAAAATACAAAAATAATAACCATAATAAACAGAAGTAAGTTCTGTATTAGTTAAGATATAAAGGGAAGTAAACATATTCTTGTATATTTAACATAAATTTGAATAGCGTTTGTGTAAACCCCAGGTACATGTACTGTAAGCGCGTAGTACAGCTAGACAGGGCGATGTACCGGGACCTTAATCGTCCCCAATCCCATCCCAGCAATAATAGTTATTAAGCGTACTTACTTTTTGTATACTTCATGTCATCGCCGTATTATTTTTATTAGTGTTTGCTATATTGATTACTACTATAAATAAATTTTAACCAATGGTGTAATTTATTTGTTTATGGCACCAAAAATATTTTACTCCTGGCCCCTTGATTATCTATCCACGCAACTGCTTGTACAGTACATACTATTAAAGGTTTCAGCATTTTATGTTAAAAGAAGTGCAATAGGTTACTAAACGCCAAAATGTTGCGGTTCTTGCAGGCGAGCATTTTGTGAGTATCGTGAGGTATCATATGAAAGGTCAGTGTCTATATGTTGAGAAAAATAAAAAATACAGGAACGTTTTCTTTTACTTAAAGTTACATGAAAAAAGTGACACAATTTATTGAATTTCGATCACGGACGGTGCTATTATATTAATTAATATAGCAAAAGAAAAAGCAAAAACGTATACACACTTTATTGAATATATACTCTAATCTGAAAAATGTCTTAACAATAATTAAAACTTACCGTTGTATAAAAATATTTACATTAACTTTACAAAATATAAATTTTAAAATAAATGTGGTTATTTGTCGTGATGGCTTCTCTCATATTTACATAGCATTAAGAAAAGTAGAGATAGGAGAAAAATCAACCCAAATCGAGAGCGTTTGAAGAGTGTCATGACTCTGCGCGACGAGCGATTGCGCATCACTCGTAGTAGTGTCAGTAGTCATACGATGAATTGTCAAGCACAACTTGGTGACGCGTCCCCATCTAGTTTTTATAATTTATTATCTCTTGTCTTCTTGAAACTTGATAAATCAATATCAGTCTTAATAAATAAAATTTCGTACATTTCTTATTTCTTTTTCCTGTTTTCCAACATTCTCAGATAATTTAAGAGGGTTACTACCAAATGTTTTAAGAAGGCAAAGCCCCTAGGGCATGGCTCTAGCAAACTTTTAACTTTTTCTTCATCCATAACACCAACCTGTGCTTTTATTGATACACAGTCTTGGCTGATATTATCTATATCGGACATATTTACAGTTACGACCCATACTGATCGTAATATTAAGCTAGGGATTTTTAAAGTGACCCTAAAACATAAGCATGCTAATTAATTTTTATTTTTTTTGTAAGCCTGTTTTTTTCCAACCGAAAATCGCAATCCATCTCAAATCCAATTTTGCTTAAATTAGAAAAATATTTTTTCATATCAGTCATATGAACCATTTGCATTTGTATATAATCCAGAAGGGTAACAATGTCATACTTTTCACCGACAGCTGCTGATACAGTTTTGCTGTTCATTCGTTTCTTGAATTCATTTTTAATAAATAAATTTTGAGGACTGCATTCACCTTTAAAATTACACAATTATAGTAAAACTCTAAAAAAAAAACATTATAATAAAGCATACCATCCGATTTTGATTGCACATGTAAGTCCTTTACGACACCAGTTAGTCTATCAATGCCAACAATAAGTACTATAGTATGGTAAAGGGTTTCAAATGTAAACTCTTCAGGTGTAGATGAAACCAAAGACCAACAATTCTGACATCTGTTGAAATAATATAGAAGATATTGTTGGGATATTTAACTAAGTACTTGTTCTCCAGTTAATTACTACAGTAGATTCGACAGTGTGAACATCGCAAACGAAAATATTTATAGGGTGCATTTGAATAATCTGATGTGTTGAAGTGAAATAGTGACAATAAATTTGAAGATGATGCTTAAAGACTACTAAAGTGATATCTTGAACCATTGAGTACATAGTTTCCAAAATTGACCTATATATGCTTTAAATTAGTAACCCACTGAGTAGAATATTAAATATAACATTCGATAACGTGAACAAATAGATGTGCACTGTTTGATTCAATTCACACTATCGAGTACTCACTGTACTTACAAGTAGTATTATATTCCTCATACAGTTCACTACTTCGTGATTTAATCTAATTTTTAACAGAAATTATAGTTTTAATCAGGAAAGATAAAAATAAGTTAAAGTATAACTATCGCAGAAGAAACATACAAAGTTATGACTAGAAATTTTAAATGTAATTTCACAAGTAAACTTACTTTTTTTGTAACTGTTTTATTCTGTCTTGAATAGTTACAACTTTTTCACATATCATCTGCAATTCCGTATCTACTTCAGCTACTGAATTAATCTCACTTGTAGACGATTGGCTTTCCAAAATCGAATCGGTTTCATTAAATTTCAGTTTCTCAGTTGGTATTTCAAAATTTATATTTAACAACGTAGATATTTTTTGACAAATCTCTTCAAAATAAGATTTTTGCTTTTCAAAACGTGAGTGACGTTGCTTAAAATTTTGAATTTCTTTTTGCATCAGAGCTTCGTTTTTGTTTATTTCTGTAATAAATTGATCATAAAGATCCTCAAAGACTTCCTTAGATTCATTCACTTTATTGGTTTCCCCTTGAATATTTTTCTGTTCAGTTTGTACTTTATCAGCATGTATTTCCTGGATATCTTCTAGAGAATTATTACAAAAAGACACAACAGATTCATCTGAAATATTTCTTGTATCTGTGCCTATAATTTCCGACATAACACTAAATGTAGTACTAGTTACAACAGTAAAAGTCTTATCTGTTTCAACAATGTTGTCCAATTTTGGTATTTTATTTCTTAGATTATTTGAAGAGTCGTTGTGAGATCTTTTTAAGGTTCCATTAGTATCAATATGATTATGTTCTGAGATTTTCGGACTTGTAGAAACATTTTTAACTTCATATATTTCATTTCCTTTACTTTCTTTAGCAGTTTGATGGGTTACATCCTTCAGGAGTGTAATATTATCTTTCTCCTTATTTGTTGTTTTTTTTAGAGATTTCTCTGTTATTTTCTGATTTTCTGGTTCTATAAGGTTGATATGCAAACTTTCTTCATTTTTAAAAGCATCGCTTTCAAACTCACCCAGAGGTAAAAATTTTGAGGACAAAAACGATGGGTTAAAATCGCCAGCAATCAATCTCGAAAAATCGGATTTTGGATTCTTATTGCCACCGACCGAAAAATTTATTAGGTATTGAGTATCATCAGCTGAATAATTTGTTGTGGTGTAATTTATTAAACTGTTTTTTTTACTATCACAATCCCACTTGTTTAAATTATTTGTAAAGGCATTTATTTGGAGAAATGGACTTGTTAATATTTTGTCTCTAATACTACCATTTTGTATTTGCTCCACTATGCCACCCCCTACATCATATACAGGAATCAACAACTTATCACATTCAACATTGTGTTTATTTGTGGCAATTACATGTCCATTATTCTTCATTTCTGAAGCTAAACACTTACTTATGTTTGAATTTGGAGACGACACTTGCTCTATATAATTGTCATTAACGGCTGTTAAATCCATATCTATACAACTTTGTTCTTGTGAAATGGATGTATTACAGTTCTCGTTATTACTGTTAATCTGCATGTTATTTTTACAAATTAAGTTTGTTAATTCCATTGTGTCTTTTATTGCTTTATCACCAAACAACCTATTTGAAAATTGTTTTTCCCCAAATACATTTTCTACTGCTGGTTCATCTCCAAAAGGGAGGTTGCAGATGATGTCCATTGTTTCAGGGTTTAAAATAGATTGCCTGTTAACTTGACTGTTACATGGCATTGCAATTGTGAAATCCATTGCTTCAGTTCTTGTAGTTTCATTGATAATTGATTTATGATTTACTGGAGAAACAGCACGAGTTAAATCCATGGTATCTACATTGAATCCTCCTATTATAGTTTTTTCATTTTTAGTTGGTAAATTTGTTATATCCATGTTATCAATCATAAGCACAGTCCGATTAGTTTTTAAAGACTCAATACTTGAAGGAATAAATGTTGTTAAATCCATTGTATTGTAATTTAAAATTGTCTTTTCAGGACATATTGCTACTTCTGCATTATTTCTTGATAAACCGATATTTAGACTTGAAGGAATAAATGAGTCCATATTAATGTTTTGATGTAGAGTATTCTGTGATATAATTATAACAGGATTAATATTTTCTTTGTCCTTTTCAATTTGAGAAGGTAGAATTGATCTTGCAACCTGAATACTAGGTATGTGAGCACTTGAATGTTGAGAAAGAAACTGATTTTGTTCGACTTCCACTACAAAGAGTTAATAATTCAATTAATTGTACTACAAAGCAAATGTTACAGATTTAATATTAATTAAATNATAGGAGGATATTTAATAGACAGGTATTTTATATAGTCACTTTTAAGTAGCCTTATTTTCATATTGTTTATTTATTTATTTCTTAGTGTTTTTGGAATCAGATTGGGAGCTAATATTTATGTGACAATTACATTATTTGGACAAATATTGTTTGATAAACAACAGATTAATATTTAAAAATCAGATGAATATTTGGATACTAACTTTACAAATTTTTTCTGTGAAAAGCTGACCCTACGCTTTACAACAGCTTGAACCTCCTCAACGTTATCTGTTGTAGGTTTTTTGAATTTCAGTATCTAAAAAAAACAACGGCTATAATAATAAGAGTTAAAAGCTTTAGAAGTAACCTACAGAAGACCGTCTTTTTTCAACTTTCTCATCCATTTTCTTTCTATCTAGTAAATGCAATAAAAATTTAAATAATTTATAAAATGATAGAATCAACACATTTTATGTATCAACACTATTAATTTATTAATAACATCGGAACAAGAGACTGTTCATCGAAGGAGATCTTGGAAGCACAAGAAACAATCACTAATAAAAAACATTATCCACTTCACACTTATTACACAGATAAACTCCTATTCAGATAATGAATATTTCTAAATACGAATTTCAAAAATCTCTTCCCATATTTTTTATATGTTTTGTAATTAGAACAAACTGCTTGAATTATTAGTTTGAATTTTTCTAAGCGGTTATATTTTGACATTTGACAATCAGGGACCATAGATGAAATTGGGACAATCACAAGCTTACAAGGTATGATCACTTGCACAGAAAAAAGTAATATTATTTATTCATTATAATTTATTTATTATTAAAGGAAAATGTATCGAATCATAGTCTATTTATAATAAATACATGGCAACCACTCTATTGATTAAAATAAAAACTATTCTTGTACTGCATTATTTTTATGCAAGTAGTACTTCTCTATTCCATTTATATATTAAAATTTTTCGACCCCATTCAGTAGTTTGTGACTTATAAATCAGTCTAATATTTTTTCCAAACATTTTATCAATCATATTTTGAATTTCTTCTTCAACATTTCTTATTTTTAACTTATTAAAT